CGTTTCAATACCGTTTGAGAGCTCAGTTTAAAAGCTAGCTTTCTGAAACTTTCACAGTCTTCCTAAAACAAGTGTAAGCAGATCAAGTTTGAAAACCACCCCGATCGGATGTCTATATCCTATAGCTTCCATAGGAACAATCGGATATAACTTGCAAGAATTGATGATATTTCGCGCAGTATATAAGCAATTGCCATGAATCTTTCCAAATCTTTTTTTTTTTTGCATACCTTGATCAGGGTAAAAGCGCGTGAGGATCGGACGTCTATATCCTATAGCTCCCATAGGAACCATAGGGTGAAATCGGTCAAAATTTGATGATTATCAGAATATTTCGCGCAGTGTGTAAGCTACTGACATAAATTTTTCGAAGTCTTATTTATTTACGCATATCTTGATTAAGGTAAAAGCGCTTGCCGATCAGACGTCTATATCTTATAGCTTCCGTAGGAAAAATTGTTAAAGGCTGCGAAAGTATCCCTTTTGTTCTATTTTTATATGAAATTTTTGCAGTATAAAAGCAATTGACATGAAACGATGCAAATCTAGTTTACTTATGTATACCTTATTCCTTTCGCTACTTTTCTACTTTCGCTAGTTTTAGCAATTTCGGCAAAGTCTGCAAGGGTATTAAAACTTCTTCCTCGTTAGGTCTGTGCATGGCATGTATCACTATGTAAATCGATCTAGAGGCATTAACTATTATCTGACAAAACCAAACCCTACAAGGAATCCCTGTTCGTACTTGCATCTATACGTGCAGACCATTTTAGCCTAACCAAATATAATGGCGTTGGCCATAGATAAGACCAGAATAAGAATTTCATGTTAGTTTCTTAATAGGGCTCTATAAAAAACAGAACTTAACTGAAAAGGTTGTTTCATTTACAACTTACCAATCAATTTCAGTTGGTGAAGGATTGTTGTTGTCTATCAGCCATATTTGCCTGCCATTTTGAATTTTCTTAGAACTCAGGCGTTAGATGTGGTAGTATCAGAATACTGCCGAATACTACCAAAGAAAACCATTAGAGAATAGTTGACTCAAAATAAAATTTTGTTTACCCTGGTTCAAAAGGCGAAAAGTAAAAAAATGGTATATTCCAATACCTTTGATCCTAGCTTAATTTACAATTACTTTATTGAGTGCTTTAAATTATCCCATTTATCCCTACCATGCGCAAATTTATTTAAAATTAAGTATGGTTAAATTTAAAGTGGTAGTGCCACTTGTTCTTGTTTAACAAAGATTTTGATCTTTTCTTCTCTGCAAACCTTCAGCAAAAATGTTACGCCATTTTAGTAGTGCTTCTCAGTTGAATCTCTCATTTGCAACAGCTTGCATCTAAATTAATGTTCCGAAACAGACAAACCATTTAACTCGACAACGAACTGTCGGCTCCTCCGCTTCTCCGCCGGAACCACAAAGCTGCGCTCATCGCTGGGAACTTACAACGTTGCCAATCCCTGACACCACCTAACCCAGCTCACCGCAGTTAATTTGTTGTTCAAGCCCGCACACAAATAAAGCTGGCAACGAGCAGCTGGAGGAACGACTCGTTTGCTTTGAGCCAACATGCAACACTTTATCCACTGGAAGACTGTTTTCAAATTTACAGCTTGTCAACAAGCGAGTACTCGTGCACGCACCCAAAGTTTCTGGGGTCCAGTTGGACCAGTTAGCCCACAGCCCATTAACCATATGGATGGAGCGAGGACACTGCAGTTGGCTTCTAAATTGTGTAAATACGAATTGCGTATACGTTCTGCTGCGCCTGCCAGCCGCATCCTCCTCCTCATGTGCTCGCTGAGTAAAGCAAATCCCAACTTTGCCGCCAACGAATACTACTCAATGGTATAGTTACGAGGTAAAAAAAGTCGGTAAGATCGCACCTTCAACATACGAAATTTCGGATACTGTTTTAATTCTAATTGTTATTATTTGATTTGCTAATTTGGCAGCAATCAGGTCCAACTACCTCCAATAAATTCTTCGGTCCTTTCTGTATAGTCATCCCATATAAATAAAATTAAATCCTGGTAAGATAAAAAATAAATATACTTTATGGGATTCCAAATGTCTTTTTCCCTGCGTTGCAAAACCTTTTCCTTTTACCCTCTGTAAGAATTATAAAATGTGGTGGCTGATGTGTTTTAAAATTTTTTTTTAATCGTTTCACTGGAAATTTAAGTTTTGTTTGTTTACGTAAGAATATCTGCAATTGCTAGAAATACTATATCTCGGAGAATGTTTTAATTTCTTTCCATTATTCCTGATTTTTCATATTATAAGTAGGCCGATCCCCCCGTTCCGACATATCAATTAGACTTTTTGCAAAGTGTAAGTCAAATAGCTTTAAAACTGAGGACTCGCCAGATCGACTGATCAGGAATTTATATACTTTATAGGGTGTCAATCACTACATAGCAAGCTTTTGAGTGCATTTGTAATAAATAAGAAAAATGGCCATAAACATAAGCAAAATGTGCTCGACCAATCTGCAATCTTAATGTTTTATAAAATAGTGTTTAATTTGGGTCAATATATTTTAAAATTGAAAATAAAATGTTCCCAATCCCGAATTAATAATACGTTGGCAGAACCTGAACAGAGTTTTCTTATGTAACTTGCATATTGATTTCATACTTTAAACACATCTGAACGTATTCAAATTGTTTATAATATATTGGGACATTTTGAAAGTAAACGTTCCTTACCCAGCTCACGTATTTTTCCAAACACCTGTACTAAACAATGGGCATAAAATCAAAGCTTAAGAAAAGAATAGAAAAAGACAAGGTAGATTTCCAACACCAAGATTTTTTCTTTCAACTTCACCGCCGTAAGAAAATACGCCACATGGCAAACACGTTTCGCATTGATGTTGAAATTGTACTCGGTTACTCCGGTTGTGATGGCTTTTTTTTTGCACAGTTGAGCTCACAGTTTATGGTCAAGTTGGATTCTGTTTCATTTATATTTCATGTGAGGTTTTTATTCTCCGTTTTCTCTGGCCAAGACAATTTCACATTTTACTTTTCCTATTAATGTCAATTTAAATGTTCCAACACTTTGGATGTTTCTGGGGAATCGCCTGGAGCTGTTCTCTGCTGTTGTCTGACTGAGATATTGTTTGCACAAAAGCACTTAAAGACTGCATTACTCCTCCTAGATAATCGCTCGGAAAATAGTTGAATAGCCCCTTTTCCGCTGGAGTCCAGTTCCGCAGTCATTTGTGGCAATTTGCGTGCTCATTGTTAATTTGATTTTCAGTTTACGATAAGCGGAAAACACCTCGACAGCTCCTGGGGCCTCTCCTCCCCTCTGTTCCCCTCCCCAATCTGCCCTCTGTTATTTGGTTTGGGTGTGGCTGGGCGCATAATTGAACGATAAATTAAATAAAAGCAATGGTACCACCAGAAACCGAAGTGCATTCAAACGTAAAAAACTCGTTGCCATTTCGGGTTTCTGAGGCAATTGAACTGTAAGCGTGAACTCTTCCATCTTAGCCCCACATTTGCCTACACTCAACTAAATTGGGGTGCTAAACTTGACCAACGCGTATAGTTATAAAACTGTACAATATAGTTTTTTACTATTACAAATAGCGTTTGTTTACAAGATGAAATCGACAATTTACCCTATAAATAAAAGATGGATTTTGTGCAATTGGACTCCCAGATTTTTTATGGTAGCATAATTACGGCTTTAGGCTGTTTTATTTGTTATGTCGAGTTTTGGTCAACTAATTAGGACATATTTGGCTTGTTCTACTATAAACCTACAACCTTCCCATACACGCTATAGAGATTGGTTCGTTATTTTAGATGCTACAACTTAACAAAATTAAAAAATGTTGTTAGGATTAAAGAGAAGAGAAGAGAACACAGATAAAAAAAAAAGTAGGTACGAAAAATGGCTTAATCTTCATTAAAAAAAAGAGTATTATTTTACGTGGGTCCTATTGATCAATTCTAATTCTATTGATCGATTATAATTCCCACATAGCGAGAGTTACTATTTCATAGTTAATAAAAAATAGTTTGGCAATCTTAAACTAAATACATTAGACATATTTATTTCAGTTCATATGCGATTCATAAAAAATTTCTCATAAGATTATCCTCAAAATTGCTACTTTAAGTTGTAACTCCTAATGGTACCCTACATACACATAATAAATAATTTACAGCCCTTCTATTTTTCTACCCTTTCAGAGGTTATTATATTTTAAGTCAAAAGTTTGCACCGTAAATATCTAGCCATGTCCGTCTGTCTGTTCACCTGTCCGTTTTTACGGAAAATAGTCCCTAATATGCTTAAAAACAAAGAATCATCCTAACGATTCTCCGATACAATTTGTTGATAGTTCCTATGCCAGCTATAGATAAAGTCGTCCCTTTTGTAAAAAGCTAAAGCCATAATTATGATTTTTCGTAGTATATGGTTTTTTTTATTTATTTTATTTTTTTTTTTTCGCGCGGATTCCCACGGTAAGAAACAACGAAGTTATATATCAAATAAAACCCATAGCAGCAAGTAATTAGTTGAAGTAATCACACATAACAAAACGGACAACCAAAACTGCCTTTACTAACCATTAGCATTAATATATACAAATACTCCTAAATATTTAAATAAATCCGTTCGGCACAGCCGTTTTTCGCCATCCTTGCAATTGGATACTTTTTCCGAAAAATTTTTTGATCGGGTTCCCCAAAAATCGTAGGGCAGTCTCCAATTGCAAGACTGAACGAATTGACAAGGGGAGTATATATTCCTTTATTATCTGAAGTATCCTTAGAAACCATTAATGTTTACTATAACGTGGAGGGGAAAACAACAACGCATCTGATCTTACTCCATGGCCTCTGCTTTCTGTGGGCTTAGATGTAAACAGTCTGGCGGTCATTTGCTTAGTTGAGCCCAGCTCGGGAGTGTAAGAAGCGCATAGAAGGGCCCATGGAAAGCAGCAGTAGCAACTGTAGCCTGCCTTGAACTACCTTTCACAACGGGTCTACGAAATTAAATGTAAAGTAGCAGCAACGGGCCAACAAGACGGACGAGAAAGCAGCTAAGATGAGTGACTTGCCAGTGGTGAGGCGGAGTACGTAGATGTGCCGCAGAATAGAGAGCTCCGGCTCAAGCCAATGTCTGACCTCAGCTATGAACGACCTAAGCCAGAGATCTCCCTACAGCCAGATCGGGTTGGGTGCTGCCGGCGGCTTCCTCGCCGGCTATGTGCTCCTGAAGGCCAGCAAGATGGTGGCCGTGGCCGCAGGCGGGTCCATTCTGCTAATCGAGCTGGCCTTGGAGGCGGGCCTGGTCAGGCTGGACATCCTCAAGGTGCTGCCGCAGTCGGATCAGAACCAAAATCGCGGGCAGCTCCAGTTCGCCGGGGAACTGGGCTTGGAGGGGACGAGTGCGAATCTCTCCCGTGTCCAGGAACTGGGCGATAAGGCCAGGAAGGCGTGTGCCACCAGCGGCCGTTTGTGTGTGGCCTTCTTGGGTGGCTTTCTACTCGGATTCGGCTGGGCCTAACTAATGCAAATCACCAACGCCATACATATAATATATTTAAATTGTACACGAAAGTTCCTACCTGCAATGCTCTCCGACAACATTTTTATTTCAGGCTTTCGGGCCTGAAAGTTCTCATAACAAAAGCCTTGAAAATTTTATAGAAATACTATTAACAAATAGCCGAGTCGCTCTTCGCCGCACACACACACTCAAACATGCATTCAAAGTTTGTGCCCCGTATAAAAAGCGTCCCAGCAAAAACTTCAAACTTGTAACAACATTTTCATGCGCTTTTAAGCATTTCAATTTTTACCCCGCGGAGAGAGAAAATTTATGCATAAGCAAAGTTTCCCACAACCAAGGCAATGGCCTAGCAATGTGGAGGGGTCGTAGTAGGTGGGTGCCTCACATTTCGTATGCATTGAGTAGACTAGGAAAATGTGTGATTAGCTAATAAAAGTCTTGTGGAGAATTTGGAAGACCAAAAAGAAGAATGTTGCACTACAAATTAATTATATTCCTTTCTTGCATTAGCATCCAGGGAGAACAATAAGACAACCTCTTAGTGAATGTCACGTTTAAATAACTAATTGAAATGGGTCCGAGGTATTTTTATCTATTTTCTTGAACACGCTGATGGAGAAAAAATGGCAGCGATTGCTGCAAACGAACGAAAAATAAACGAACCACACTGGCCAGGAAATGTTTCCAACAATAAAAATCAATTTAAATCGAGACCGAAACTCGAACTCTCACTAACATAACCAACAACACGCATCACGTACGACTACGGTACACATGTCGTATGAGCAATGAAATTTGCATTTGCCAAAGCCAAAAATTGTTTTCTTTTGCAAGCAGCCCCTGAACGCAATTTAAAGTCCGGCATCTGCGGAACAAGTTAAATTTGACGTTTTAATTATTCTAATACCGACTGCCCGATAATAGATAATCGCAATTAGCAGGGTATAGGAAAATTAATGGAAAAAGTGGGGGTGCAAAAGTCCTAAGATAAATGAAGTTGAGAGTTTGGCTTGCGATTAGCATGGGAATCAGCAGAGGCGGTGAAAAAGCGGAAGTCGTGTTGAGACAACAGTGCGGTTGTGATTGGAAGACTGCAATCGGTGGTAGATTCAACTAATTAAAGGTGATAATTGGGAGGCTAATTGGCAAAAAGATTTTCACTTTGTCAGAATAAAACGCTTTACACACGGAGACTCAGCTTCAAGGGATTACCGGTGGTTATAGTCTAGCATTGGGGAAATTAATTTAGTTAGAAGTTTGCAGCGCAGTGAACGTGACGTTTCCGCCTCTATAAAGTGTTTGTATATTCTTGATTAACTTTTCCGGACTAGTATAAATATGCTGAGGGTATTACAATTTAAGTCTTATAATCTAAATTAAAATCAGACAACAATATCATATAGCTGCCATAGAAACAATGGCAAAATGCAGCCCAAAATCGACATAGCTTCATTGTTTTTAGTAATATAGGCATAGAAATCGAAATTTAGTAGATTGGGTAACAACTGCAAGGGTTTGCTTTCTTTCTTGTTAAATATAGTGTTATATATTTTAAGTCAAGGTAACACACCGTCGCGCCTTCAACATACAAAATTGCTGATATCAAATTTTGGGATAAAAAATGATTAAGCATTCGAATTAAATATTTCAAATATTTGGTACAGAAATTTTTTTAAAAATGTTTTTTTAGGCTTCATAATTTCATATTATTGTGATTTAATCTCAATGCATCCCCAGCTCTTCTCGGACATTAAAACTATTATTATTTCCAATGTTACACTATTGTTGCTGAGCTTGTCGCTTAAAGGTATATGGTATATGTTTAAAATTAAGAATTTTTAAGGGGTAAAAGAAACATCAACAGAATTGGAAAATAAAACTTTTAACATATTATATTTAAATAGATTAGCGTTAGGAAGACTGACAATACAACGTTTATGAAATACCCGTTACTACCCTTCATTGATTTTGGTTACACCTTTCCAGAGGGTATTGTAATTTTAGTCCCGTCAAGTTTTCGTTTAAAATTAATATACAGATAGCTGAAATCTTAATTTAAATATAAAGTGAGTTCAAAAATCACAAGTTAATAGCTTTTTTTCCCATTTACGTGTGTTTTGTCTCTCGTCAAATTTCAATAGATTCGCTTTTTTTACAAACAGTACTTCTTACCACTGACAAATTTTTATAAGTGCACACTGACAAACAGTGTTGAATAACTTATATTTAATTTAAACAAACTGATTTCGAATTTCAAATAATCTTACTTTTCAAATTGGATCACGCGGTAAGCTGGTCTCTCAGGCTTAACAATATCTGTACGTTATTATTTCAAAATTATTTTTACTATTAGAGGTATTGAATAATTCAAAACGCAATTAAAGAAGAACAATAATAATACCTAATAATACCTAATACCTAAAATAATAATAAAAATTAATATACAACAACAACAATGTACAACTAAAAATGGAAATAAAATCGTTTACAAAAATAATACTTATACCCGCAATTCCTTATTTTTTGTACATAATAGCAATAATATATGTGGAAGTTTTATATAATATTGATATCGACTCTATGATATAAATATATATTTTTGCCCCATAACTGTAAGAATATATAAACATTCTTGTTTGTGTTTAAGTTGATAAGTACTGTAAAATGTAAATTAGTAATGCTTTTAAAAACATTGACTTAATCAAGCCACATAATGTGTAAGCTCTGATAATACCACATGCAAGCTTAAACATACAAAACACAAAATCAAATTTCAATAGCGCAAACTACAAATGGCCGTAATTGTTTGCCATCAAAGCAATCCAAACCAAACCGAAACGAAACCGAAACTCCAGAGTCTGAGCGAAATGCATGTAATTGTGCAATATGTCTAACAATTTGACCAAAACTGAATTTGCACATAACCACAAATAGCTAAATTGGAAATAGCTGGCGTGGTCGTGGGAATTATTAAATTTGAAGTTAAATGCATTTTCGAGCAATTGCTGGCAATAAAATTGAGCCTGTGTCAATGCATAATTATTTGAATTTTGAAACAAGCCATTTTGTTCCTAGGATCTACCGCCAGTGGCTTGATTAAAACTTAAACAGTTCGAACTTTACACGGGGAGGGGAGTGGGGAGTGCGGGGAGTGGGGGGAGTGGCCTCCCCCTGTTGCAACTTCAACTTCAAAGCTCCTGCCGAGGCTGCTCATTAAATTCTCATGCTTGCCTGCAGTCCAAGGTAAAATACGAGCAGCGGCATTGCAGTTTCAATCGTCTCGCACAAAGCTCCTCACGAGTTCCTTTGCAATGTTTTTCTTTCTTTCCACTCGCAGCCTCTTCATTTGCTGCTCCCGCTTTTGTTGTTGGCAAAAAAGCGGAAAACGTGGCAAAACAGGAAGGGGGAGGGCCGGGGGAAGCCATTCTGTCTGCGGGGCTGACCTATGGCGCAGAAAAGGTGAAAAACTAAGAACTATTATGGTAAGAAGAACGTAGGTAGAATGCTAAACAATGCAACACATTCTGACTTTAACACTGCACTTGAATTTTATAATAGATATATTTTATATTGGTTCTGTTCTAAAAAACTTAGTAACTGTTTTTCTCATATAATAATCTTTTAAATAACAAAAATGTCTAAGTAAATTTAGTTAACCCTACAAAAAGTCCACCACACGAAATATAAGTTATGCTTGAAATATGTAAACAAGTTATTTCGCCCTTGAAATTAGAAGAAGTCACAGCTCGTGAAAATTGATTGGTGTTCAAGGTAAAACTGGCTGATTTTGTTAAGCCACGGCGAGCAAACAAATGGGAAAATTAAAACTGTGCAGGAGTACAAAACAGTTTCTATGACGACGAATTTCCATTGTTATTATAGGGCTCCAGTTGGCTGTGCGTTTGGGCGGATCAATTTAATGATGTTATTAAAGTCATGGGCACAGGAAGTGCCAGTAGTTATAGTTCAAGGCTTTAATTTACCTTAAAGTAATTTGAGGATGGGCCCGGCAAAGTCAGTGCCAGACACAGGCGGATGCAATTCGGAACTCCGCTTGCCTTGGCCATGTCCATGTCAGACCATGTCAGACCTTCAATAAATTTAGACCGGTAGGCGTGGATGAACTGCTATCCGACACTCACATCGGCCAGCTGTCTGGCTGGCATTACGTGCAAATAGTTACGTGAAATTATTTCCGGAATCGGTAACTAATATAACTTCGTTGCAGTTCCCTCGGCAGACTCGCAATGAAGTTGCCACGAAGTTCCCAGCGAGCATTTCTTCAAAGTCAAACAGTATAGCCGAACTGATTAAAGCTTTTGTTAAAGTTTCGACGTGCGGGAATTCTCGGAAGAGTGCACTTTGCTGTCGGTTGCCCGAAAGCAGTCCCTTTCCTCCATCTCGAAACCCTTTCTACCAATCGCTGCTCACCTCCTATGAACGTCGTATATTTCCAGTGCAGCCGGCTCAAACTGTCGCCATAAATGTTAATTAAATTAAAACGCTAATAGGCGTGAAATATGATAACGCACAGATACAGAGGCGTGCAGACACCAGCGAGCTCCCACGAGAAGCCTGCGATGGCAGGTGGCAAAGCTCTGTAACATCTGCCGCAAAAGTCGCCCGCCACGCCCCCACGCCCCCAAACGCCCCCTGCCGCCCGAGGGGGAGTGTGGCAATTGCCAAAGTTGCCGCTCACTTGATTTTCAGAATAATACTCGTAATAATTAAAATGAAAATTAGAATGGGCCCAGGCAGCGGGCGTGGCTGGCAGTCGAAGCATCTGCCAAAGGGAACGCAAACAGACAGATAGAGAGATAGAAAGCGGTCGCGCTGGGGCAGGATGCCATCCTGCAGCCTACCACTGCCACTTGGCTGCCTCCTTGGGCTCGAAAAATTTGCCTTTTGGTGGCGCCTAATTAAAAGGGATAAGTGCCGGGGCAGGTGTGAGCCCGAAGGCCCAAGGCGATGAGGTAAAAGGGACGGGGACGCAGTAATTACTAATTGCTGTGATTATGAGGGTCGGATGGCCCGGGCGGCAATTGGGTGGGTAGCTCCGAA